GTGCGGAGATCTCCGGTCGTCGGCGGAGCGGGGATAAAGCAGGTGAAGGGGCGCGACTGTCAGGTTGCCGCCACGTGTCGTGCGTTAAGCGGTCGTAGGGGCGGCTACCCTATGTCATTAATGAGCCTAGGGTCGCTTCGAATCCCACGCCGGGTTATAAATATGGGGGTCCCCGCTCATTCTATTATTTTTCACTCTGCTGTTGTGTCTGCGAAGCTCTGTCGTCTCTGCTCGTCCGCCGCTTTCCATCGATCGCCGCCGCGCCGTTTGATCTTTCCCTCCGTCCGTCGCCGTTACAAGTGAGTTCTCTTTTCCCTCCTCTTTTATTTCCGTCGTTTAATTGGAACGTGTGGTCGGGGCACGATGAATGCCCCGAGGAGGGACGCGAGACCCGCCGTGTCTGGCGAACTTTCTGATGAGTGTCCCGGGGAGGATCGGCTGGTTCCGATGAATGTCCCGAGGACGGGGGATTTTTCCGATGAATGCCCCGGGAACAAGTGCCTTTTTTGGTGGATGCTCCGGGGAGGTGCGCTTTTTCTGGTGACTGTCCCGAGGAGGGATGGCGGGTCGGTTTTAGATTCCCCGAGGAGGGTAGACGGGGAGCGAGTGTTTGTTCGTCGTTTTCCGGCCTTTGTCGCCCTTTCACTTGACCTGCGGTGGAAGGGTGGATTTGATCCTGGCTATCGAATTCACCGTTGTCCTCTGCTTTCAGGTGTAGATGTCGGCTCTGGTACCGGGGATAATGGTCGAAGACAACGAACCCGAGATTCCGGAGTATGACGATGAGCGCATTGCCCCGTCCGAGGAATGGGCGGCCGAGGAGCCGCTTTCTACCACGTCTTGTTTTGTGGCCGATGCGTCCGACGTGTACGCCACGGCCGAGGACACGCCTATAGGAGAGCCACAACATTGGCAGGTGTACCGACCAAAAGAACATCATCGTATCTGCTCGCGATATGGGCGGCGGATGTTCCCGATGCATGAGTTCTACTTTAAAGAAGCTCGGCTCCGGTTACCGTTCTTCGCCTTTCATCTGGGGCTTTTTGAGTGGTTGCGCCTTGCCCCGTCCCAACTGCATCCCAACGCCTTGGCTTTCATCCGGGCTTTCGAGGTGGTGTGTTTCTACCTCTCGGTGGAGCCGACGGTACCGTTATTTTTCCGCATCTTCCACCTACAGCGGCAGACGGTGAATGGCCGCCACGGATGGGTTTCTTTTAAGAAATCGACCAAACTTTTCAAAGCGTATAGCGATTTTGTCAAAGATTTTAAAAGCCGGTTCTACCTCGTCAAACCGATCACGCAGCACGGCTCGGACACTCTCTTCGACGAGGGCGAGCGAACGGTAGATGGCCAGCGATTCCGCGCGTGGCTTCCTAAGATACATCTACTGTGGACTGCAGAGCATTTCAGCCGAGGAACGGATAGGTATATCGTCCGGGCGGGGACCCTCGAGGAGAAGGACATGGCCGCCTATTTGAAAATAGTCGCCTTTGTGCGGTCTCTCCCTCCGTCGAAGCTGGTGACGCCCGACGGTCGGTATATCCTCGACGCGCAGGGGAATGTGCGTACTAAGAAGCATTTGATTAATACCAAGACCCTGCTCGGTTGTGCGACCGGGGCGTCCGCTCTGGATTACCTAGGTAGGAATGTTCGTTTTTCTCCCCGTGGTCGGGGCTTTGACCGTCGCTAACTCATTTCTTTGTTTTTGCAGCGAACATGTCTTCCGTCGAGGAGCGGGTGAAGCAGTTGCGTGCCACTAGGAATGCTGCGGTCCCGAGGACGAGGGTGAGCCAGCTGGTCGGACAGGAGGTCGCGACGCCGGGGGGGGGGGGGGGGGGGGTGAGGGGGGCAAAGTTCGTCCTCTTCGCCTTAAGAGAGTCAATCTCCTGCGTCTCAAGGAGCATCGAAGACGCAGAGGTCCGAGGAGCCCCGAGGTGTGGTAGATCTGACGGTCGGTACCGCTGAGGAAGGTTATGTCGTCCCGCCCTGCCATCAGCATCCGGGCTATTTTCATGGTGCCCGTTCTCCCACTGTCTCCGCTGGGGAGGTGAAGGTTGTTCGTCAGGCCGATCGAGAGACTCGTCGACGTGTTCTGGCTGAGGACTTGGCTGCAATGATGCGGACGTTCACGACGGCTCTTGTGCTGAACGAGGAGGGCTGCTCCGCTGCTGAGCTGTCCAAACTGCAGGGGGATCTTACTTTCATGCAGTCGCGATTGGCCAAGCTCACTGAGGAGTTGGAGAAGAGCCAGAAGGATGTTGCTGAGCAGCGAAAACGGGCGGAGGGTGCTGAGGGGAAGGTGACTTCGCTGGAGGAGAAGCTGGGGAAAGCGACGGCCGAGGTGCAGGCGCTGAAGGTTCGCACGGAAGTTTTGGACAGCGCAGTCCGTCCGGCCGAGGACGAGACAAATGGAGATCAACGGTTAATCACTCATGCTGACCTGATTGCCCGTATCCGGGTGTTGGAAAGCGACTGTCTGGAGGCTGTTGAGGTCGGATTCAAGAGTGTTGTTGAGCAGGTTCAGGTCGCCAATCCTGGTGTCGTGCTGGCCATGGATGGGATCGGGCCGTACCACGAGATTGTTGACGGGAAGGTGGTCGATCCCTATCTTGTTATTCCCGAGGAGGAACCCGCGACTGCTGACCGGGAGGACGAGGTAGCATAGGTTGCCGGGCCTGCGTGCTCGTTGTTTTTATGGCCTGCGTGCCGATGTTTGTGATATCTTTCTTTGGGCCTGCGTGCTCTGTTTTTGTACCATTGACTACTGGGCTGGTGCCCGCCTTTTGTTTAATATATTTTTTGTGGATTTTCTAAGTGTGCGCTCGTTATTTGCATGTTGTTTTATGCTCGTTTTTCGTGTTTGTTTATTTGAATGCTTTTGAATGCCTTTGATGTGTATGATATTTCTTGTAAATTTTCTAAGTGTGCGCTCGGTGTGTTAGCTCGACGATTTGTTACCGGTAGTGCAGGGAAACGGCCGGTTTGGCCGGCGACGTAGCCGGGCCGTTTCGGGGGTAGTTCTCCCCGGGGCGTGGACATCCCATCGCGAGCTGGGCGTCCTGCCGCTTTTGGTACGGCGGCGAGGAATCTCGGTCGAGGTGTTCCTTGCCGAGCAAGGCCTTCTGCCCGCGCACACGAGAGGCAGGGCTTGCTTTTCTTTGGTCGCTAGTGGACGCGGGGGTGCGCGGTGGTACCATGTCGCCCCCTAGTGGTCGGGACGATGGGTCGTCGCGGGCAATGTTCTAATTGTAGTACCGCTTAAGCTTCGCGGCGTTCCATGGTCGAGCTAGTTGTTCACTGTGCAGGTTTTCGAGGTAATAGGCCCCGTGCTCCGTTTTGTCCCGGACTCGGTACGGGCCTTCCCAGTTCGCAGCCAGTTTTCCCTCGTGGGAGTCTTTCTGATTTCTGCGTAGAACTAAGTCGCCTGTTTGAAAGTCGCGTTTTAGGACTTTATTGTTGTGGCGAAGTGTGACTTGTTGCTTCAGCCGGGCTTCACGGAGGGCTGCCCCTGAGCGGATTTCTTCGACGAGGTCGAGCTCTTCTCGGAGGGCGCCGTCGTTGTCGTCGGTATCCAGGGGAGCTTCCGTTCGTCGGGACGGTTCGCGAATTTCGACCGGTATTACGGCCTCGGTTCCGTATGTGAGGCGAAATGGGGTTTCCCCCGTGGTTGAGTGGGGAGTGGTGTGGTATGCCCAGAGGACGCTGTGGAGTTCTTCGACCCATGCTCGTTTGGCGTCGCCGAGTCGTCGTCTGAGTCCTCTGAGTATAACTCTGTTTGCCGACTCCGCCTGGCCGTTTGTCTGAGGGTGTTCGACCGAGGCGAAGTGATGTTTGGTTCCGAGTTTGGTGACGAAGTCGCGGAAGTTTTTGTCTGTGAATTGTGTGCCGTTGTCGGTGACGATGGCGAGTGGGACCCCGAATCTGGCGAGGATGTTGCGTTTGTAGAATCTTTAAATTCAGGAAGTGTTACGTGTTATCCCTAACTTTTTTGATGCTATTTTAATATATAGGGTAATGTTAACAAGGACACAAGTTAAAGAAACCACTTTTAATAAATTTGTATTGAAAAAATAATTTAAAAAATAATTTTATACTTTAATTTAAGTTTGTACACAATTTCCAAAATGATATTTCTTAATTTAGTTCTTAACATGTGCACAAGGACACAAGTTAACATTACCCTAATATATATTTTTTCTTCTTCGTATCTCTATCTCCAGATTTACGTGCAATCTAATAAAACAAAAAAATGAAAAATGGTGTTAAAAAGAGGTGATGAAAGAATTATTAACTTTTGTATCTATTTTTACTTACATTACCGATGTTGCCTTGCCTTCATAGTATCTCCATATCTATCTTATTCTCGTTTCTTTGTTATCTTTAGATCTATTTACCTTTAGATCTATTTACGACCAAAAAAAACAAAGAGCATGAGAAAATGAGAGACAGATAAGAGGGTTGAAAAACAAAATGAAAAAGGAAAACAAAGAGCATGAGAAAATGAGAGACAGATAAGAGGGTTGAAAAACAAAATGAAAAAGGAAAGAGAAAATTTTATTTACCAAATTTTATAAATCAAATAAAAGGAGATTTACCAAATTTCATTAATCCTCATTCTTGAAACTTTTTCAAATCATTTCAATTTAGAGGTGAGAAAAAAAAAGAGAAAAGATTGAAATGAAAAAAAGAAAGAAGAAAGAAGAAAGAAGATGAGGGAAGAAAGAAGATAGAAGGTTGAGACGAAAGAGAAAGAGTAGTAGGCAAGGAGAGAAGAGAAAAAAACAAAAAAGTTGGGTTAAGATACGTGGTCAGGGAAAAAAAATGTTATGAAGCCATCCATGTGGCGCTTCATGCGACCAACAAGGTTAAAAGAAACATTTCCAAAACATATCATTTTCTTTTATGATTGATGGGTTGTTTTATAACCTTTTATCAAACCCAGAAATACGGAAGCAAAAGATAGAGAAAGTGCAACCAACGTAAAGCTAAAAGAAATAAGAATGGACTTAGAGAAGAGAGTGCACATGAAAGGAGGCCATGGAGAAGAAAGCTATGCAAATAACTCATTGGTACAGGTATACACGTATAATAATTACATTAAGCATATTATTTTGCAATGAATTAATAAAACCCAGAAGCATAGAATTTCTAGGCCAATTTCTATGACCAGGATCAAACAAATTTGAAACATGCAGCCTGGCTCGAAGGAAAGGAAAAAGGATTGACCACACAATCATCTTTTTTTTTGTTAACATTGCCACCCCACACAATCTAATTAGTTAATTCAGTGGCTAGTATTATGCTACCGAGGATCTGAACTCCTATGTATGATTCTAAATATTTTCTATTTTATGCCATTAAAGGGAAATGCGATTTCTTCAACAAAGCTCGTAAGAGAGGAAGTCTTAACTACTCTATATTCCAACACATTTCCTAGTATCCTTGCAATTGCAGATATGGGTTGTTCTTGTGGACCAAACACTTTATCAGTGGTGTCAGAAACTATCAAGATTGTGGAAAAGCTTTGTAAACAATTGAATCATTCGTCTCCCGAATACAAAGTATATTTGAATGATCTTGCAGGAAATGACTTCAATAGTGTCTTTAAGTCACTTGACAACTTCAAAGAGAAACTATCTGATGAAATCAAAACTGAAATTGGCAATTGCTATTTCTTTGGAGTACCTGGTTCTTTCTATGCTAGAGTTTTTCCTGATCAAAATCTGCATTTTGTCCATTCCTCTTATAGCCTTCACTGGTTATCAAAGGTTTCTACTATTACCTGATCATTTTCTATGTAATTATCTGATAAGCGATTAATCAAATTAAATATGGAAATTTTTGTTTGTTATGGTGAATAACTAGGTTCCGGGCGGTATAAACAATAACAAAGGAGCTATTTACATCCAAAGCAATAGTCCTTCCAATGTCATCAAAGCTTACTATGAGCAATTTCAAAGAGATTTCTCCTTTTTTATCAAGTGTCGCGCAGAGGAAATAGTTGAAGGTGGTGCCATGGTTCTAACGTTTTTGGGAAGAAAAAGTGATGATCCAAGTAGCAAGGATTGTTGCTACATTCCAGAGCTTATTGCCACTGCTCTTAATGACATGGTCTTAGAGGTATATACAGCACACGTCGCTCTGAGATACAATATATTTACAAAATAAATTTAAAAATACGAATATATGAATGATTTTTTTTATTGTATGATTAATAGGGGATTATAGAAGAAGATAAACTGAATACTTTCAACATTCCTAATTATTATCCATGTCCGCGTGAAGTGAAGTTTGTAGTTCTCAACGATGGATCGTTTGACATCAATCGGTTGGAGTTGTCAGAAGTAGATGTGAATGCTTCTAGTAATCAAAGTGGATATAAATTTGCACAATCCATGAAGGCTGTGTTTGAACCTGTGCTAGTTAGTCATTTTGGCGAAGCTATGGTTGAAGATGCTTTTAGGCGTTATGGAGAAATTGTGACAGATCGAATGTCCAAGGAAATAATAAAGCAAACTTATTTTACCATATCATTGACTAGAAAATCATAATATGGATGAAGTTTGCTCTATTTGTTTGTGACTTTCTCAACATTAAAACAAATTGCAGAGCCTTTGTTTTGATTTGTTGATGCAAGCAAAGAATAACTATGGTTGTGCTGCTTTCTAAATTGAGTAAGACAATTATTTAGGTGGAGATTCTGGAATTTGTTTGTGATAATTATAATCCTTCACCTCGCCAAACATTTGCACCTTTTGTATAGTAGCTAACAAATTATAGGCCTATCGCAACGTTTTATTTGTTAGATATACAAACATTGGTTGTAAAGTTTTAAAAAATCTGTTACACAAAATTGAAACCTCTAATAAAATAATAATCTTTTCTTTACTCATCATTGTTCAAGGAAGTGAAGAGAAAATCAAAGGAGGATTCTCGATCGTTTGAATAGGGTTATCAGGCTATACCCACAATGTTTTAGTTCTTTACCTACAGATGCTGTCACTATAAGTTTATAGTGTTCTAGTGAATGTTTTTTTTTTTGTTGTAAATTATGAAAAATTTAATATTAATTTGTGAGGAAAAAACAATAGCAACCAAAATATTGTCTTTAACAATAATAATTCGTACACATATAATATAACAGAATAAAACAAGAAAAAACCGAAGATTTGTTTATCTAATTCGATCAAACGATCTACTATAGGAGAGAGAACAACTCTCCAGTTCACTATACTCAAAATGTTGTTAAACTAAAGTTTTCCTAAACCTTTTCTTTTCTAAGGTTTTCCTTGTGAATAGATGAAACTCTATGCTATGCCTTTAAACCATTACTCTTCTTTATTGGTGTAAACTCTAAGATTGTCACGTACCAAGCATATAAGAGATACATATTTATAATAGCAAATACCCAACAAACAAAACCCAAAATCATATGGATCAAATTGAAAAAAGCCCGAAAACTCGAAAACACAATTCATCGCACAGACAATATTATTCACCGTACGAACATCTCTATTCACCGTACGGACAACACTATTCACCCGTACAGACGCACTATTCACCGACCAATTTTTTATTTTTTTTCTCGACTTTTCGTCTGATTTTCGCGGTAAATGCAATCTCAAAAATATGTTTTCTTTATCTTCATCAACAAAGATTTTAAGGCACATTTACAACATTTTAAAAATAAAAAATACCAAAACGATGATGTATCTGTTTCATTCCTTTCACTTTGTGTTTTCTATTGATGAAAATTTAACAAGTGTACTAAATGTATTGAAGTAATAAAATTTAAAAGTTTGTCTCCATATGGATTGTACTATTTTAACAAAGTGATTTGGGTGCTATTGAAATTAAATAGAGCGTTTTCAGATTTGATTTTAGAAAATAAAAGCTTAAATAAAATTGGTGGAAAACTTTACCAAATTAACGACGATTAGACATTGTTTCGAATCCCCAGTATGTCACTTTTGATGTTGGCGTCTATTTGCCCCTAAGTTGATTTATCAATGATTTCGATGGTTTAACTTAGCCGATATACCAATTCTTTGATGTATAACTCACTATTCTACAATACGCTTCCTAAATCATTAGTCTAGGTGGCTAGTTAAAACATGCAATGCTTTTGTGTGTTAAACCCTACGTCAGTACATACAATTTCTTATTCCTAATCATTTACAAAGTTGGACAGATTAATTTAGTTTCAATACATAGAGTTATAGTCAGTAATTACTGTGAATCTAGATTGAAATACATATTCGTAAGCACATATAAAGCAATGAGCACAAAACTAAATTGAATAACGACATTGAATAAATTAAAGATGCAACTAGTACAAAGACCCACACATATGTCCCAATAGATTCATACAGGTTCATCTAACAAACCCTAATAAGTAAAACTTTGTTATTCATACTAATAGGAATCATAACTAAAGTGATAAAGAAATAATACATGAATATCTTGTTAGAATTTGGCTTCCGGTGATAAAAACATTCACTCTGGATCTCCTTGAAGTGTTTCGTCGTCAAAATTAAGTTCCAAGAACGTCCATTCATCTTTCCTATGTGTTTTCCCTTTTATAGAAGCAAAAATGGGTTAGAAAAGCAGTTTATCACGTCAACAATGATGTCATCGCAACCACTATGGTCTTGTTTTAGCAGCATCGCAATCACGTTAATTTTTGTGTTGTTCACTATGGTTATATCGTTGTCACGGTGTTTTCACTGTCTAAAGCTCTTTTTAGATTTCTTCTGCAAAAAGTCTTGTCTCAATCCGAATTATGAAACTTTAGATATGATCAAATTATTGGCCAAACATCATGTTGTAAATTATGTTGAAAAAAAAAAGCCTTTTTCTTTGTAATTTCTCTATTTTTCCATTTTTTCCATATTTCTGCTTTGTTTCTTCACTTATCCATTTTCTTTCTATTTCTTCATAAAAGTCAAACATAATTAACCAAAAAATAATAAAAACAACTGGAAATGCTTGTACAAGTTACATATAAGAGTCTGTCATCATAACCCCAAGCTTACACTGTTACTTATGCACAAGGAACTCATTCATAACTGTGATATTTCTCAGAACATTGTACTTACTAAACCAATGAAAAAAGTAACACCCTAAATCTGACACCCTTGATTTTAAAAAATAAAACACATAATTTTACACAATCTTGATGTTACACATTCATAACATACATCTTTCTCGTAAATTATAACATAAAACATGCAACGAAATAAAATATTAAAACTTCACAAAAAAAATTTATTGGTCTCAATAGAAATTACTAAATAAAATAACTCGAACATCTTAAGAAACATAATAGGTAAAAAAGAAACTGTCCCCATTGTTACATATCAGAGTACCGCCAAAATAAATCGCTCAAAAAACTATAAAGAGACGAAGAGGCCTCAATGTCATCCACCAGCTCAACAATAGCTAGTGCTCTTTTACCTGAGTATTTGTACCACAAGAGTACAAAATAACACAAATAAAATAACCAAGTGGGTGAGAATTCTTTCATTAAGGTTAGCGGTGCATAAATATTAAAGGGTAGTATAATTCAAGCAATGATTAATCACACAACTATCAATCACAACAATGCACCAATTTCAATAGTAACCCGATCGCAGAGAAATTATGTGTGTAATGCATCAAGTCCTTGACTCTATATGCATGTGGTACCAATTTGGACATCAGAGGTATGTTATTGACTTAGTCCACTCACCGATGGCCACATAGAACCATAAACGTCACTGATCCCCCCTTCTGAATTAGGAGTCGCCACTGATCCCCCTTCTGAATTAATGACTCGTCGCTGATCCCTCCTTCTGAACTAGCGACATAGCACCAGACCAAAGTATGCACACCATGATGCATGAAATGCAAAAAAAACATAAAGATGTAATAATCATCATCGATTCCCTTTCGAACCAAATACACCGCCAATAAGGCCACCACCTCAACATAATAAACATGCTATGTAATTATACCCATCATAATATACAATCATACACTTCTTCAATGACAATTGTCATACATCGACAGAAGTACATCAAATAACTATTAACATATCAATTTTACTCACCAAACCACCAAACACATTAAAACAACAGCAAAACATCGCCGCCATAAAAAATTACTCGAAAAACCGACTCAACCACTAAGATCCAATCAATTGAAAGGGCTAATGGTCAACCCCTTGCAGGGTTGACAGTCGTCACTCTGTCTGTCACCCTCCCCATATAAACTGCTGTAATCGCTAATCGTTGGGCAAGAACACCCATCACGACCCTTTGACTGTCAGATCCTTAGCTTGACCAAAAGGGTTTTCATTCCTTACGCGATGACAGTATGGCCATCAATGCTGCAGATGTCTGTCTACACCATGTAGAATGTAGAAACTGAATTTTCCCACCATTTGAGCACTCTCAAAAAGAAAACATCATACATAATATATTGGACACATAACACAGAAAATTATCACCGATTGCACATCAACATTAATTTATCATTATGTTCATCACCACCAAAACACATTAACAAGAACAACACCAATCCAAAATTCACTTAAATATTGTGTCATACACTAATTTTTACCCCTAAGATCCCACCTTTATTTTCATCATTTTCATAACATCAAACACTTCTTGTGTGTGTCTTTTATACATTGCTAATCCCATGAAAATACAAAAAATATGTCTTGCTTGCTTTGTTTATAAGTTAGGGTTTTGCATCGAGAAGTTCAAATGGTTGATCAATCAGGGTTTAGTGTGATCCTCAACATACCAACCTCCTACACTCATTCGTGGTGATCAAGATATTCCATTCATCAATAATTAAGTTTGAGTTTGCATCAATTCAAGGTCATCAAGTCCCAATTCATCAGAAGCTCCAAATTAGGGTTTTGGTCAAAGCCAGCTTGACGTTGACTTACCAAAACATGATCTCATGGCTTGGAACATGATTCAAGAGTTTCAAATACATCTTTGTGGTTCGTTCATATGATTCAACTGGCTCAAGAATTTTGATTTATTGATGGTTGAAGAATTTTGATTCAATTGCTAAAAGTCAACAGATGCTCAAAGTCAAAGTTTGACTTTTGAAATTTTTAGTCAACCATGGACTTCTCAAGGCAAGAATCAAGAAAGTGTGGAAAATTATTGAGTTTGATCAAGTTAAATCAATAAAATCAAGAAAATGTCAAAAGTTGTCAAAATTGGGGTTTTGAAAATTTCCCTAAGTACCAAAAATTCATGTCCAAGTGACCAACTTTCCAAGGCCATGGTGTTTGATTCAAACATCCATTTGAAACACTTGAAGGCTGAAATTAATTATGATATTTGATACTACAAGTTAATGAAAATTTGAGGCTAAAACGTTTCCTTCAAGTGGAAGAAATTGATGGTGAAAGTTGAGGTTTCAAGTTGTTGTAAGTTTCAAAACACTTAGAAACTTTTCTAAGTTTTTAGCCTTTCCAAGTGCATGACTTTATAACCAAATTGTGTATAATCCAAGCAACCATTCTTGATGCTTGAGGGATGAATTT